GAACGCGAAAGTCGTCGACTCCGTTACCTGGCTCGCAGGTTAACATCAGAGCAACCATACTTACAAGTGTTAATAAGGGGTGGGACGGGGATCGGTTGTGGTGGGATGTGAGAAGGTGATTGTAAACTGATTAAGTCCAGATTTCCTATGATTAAGGCTGGCTGTTCAAGAACGCAAAAGTCGTCAATTCCGTTACGCATATTGCGTTGACACTAGAGCGTCCATACTCGCAAGTGTCATGTGGGGTGGGGAACGCAAAAGTCGTCTCAAGCGCTACGCGACTGACCACTACATCCGAGTCGTCCCCTATGCTACACAAAACTGTTACCGAGAGACTACAGAGTGTACATTGTATCATTGTATGACCAGCTTACTTAATAGCAGTCGATTGCATAAACTTAATCAAGTCTTCCTCAAATGATAAGTTTCATTTCTAATGCAATATCAAGAAAGCCCAAACTCATTGAACCGCTAATCCTTTCAGGGTTTCTGTAATAAATGGTGAATGTAAATGAATGATAAGCATTAGCTCCTCACTTATGTAAATAGGCATATTTCATTTTCATTTTGAGACTGACAGCAATCCTATTCACCGCTAAATTATCTGAATTCAAGAAGAATGCTGGATGTTTACAGTTGTGAGATAAATATGCCAGTTCAGCTCCAGACGTTATCACGCGTATTCTCGATGGACTTCAGCGAAACTGGGAAAGGTCTAACACATTCAATAGTGAGGTGGTTAATGGAGTACCTCATGCTGATATTCCATGGGTCCTCCAGTTTTCGCTAAGTTGCTAAAGCCTGCCATGTGAACCAGCAAAACTGGTTATGTATGGTAGGATTCGTCAACTGACCACCCATCACACTTGTCGAAGATGAGGAAATGGCACAGCTAACGAAGCTTAATCCAGCTCAAACGTTTTTGAAACTCGCCTTTTGAACTTTTGAAGTCTAAACCTAAACTTTTGAAGTCTACAATCTTGAAACTTTGAAGGTGCTCAGTAGAATTCCTTTGTCATGCGACCTAATAGGAGAAATCATTCTTGGCGACCATGTCTAATCCTTGTCACGGAGCTAGGGCGTGATTTCATTTGCGCTGCTCCGGTGTCTAGTGAAAAATTGAGCAAGTGCAATGAAGCTACTTTGTTGGCGGTTGTTTCAGGGGGAGAGGCATTGGGAACGTAATCAAGTGGCCTAAACGGCCAGCCGATATGTGCCCACGATTTCACGCTGACCTCGCATTGATTCGCGCTTGGGAAGCGTTGGGAAACAGGGGATGCGTTGGTCTCACAAGAGAGGTCTTTCGGGTCGAGCCGCGCTTTTCCAAAACGGTTTTTTGCATGCTGTAGGGGTTCTTGTACGGACCAGAAATCCGTGTTTATTTTCGCTGAACGGTTCCCTGATGGCCAAAAAAGGGTCGAAAAAATTGTTGGGAATGGGCGGTTTTTACAGCTTTGGAGTGACGATTCGGACTTGCAGAGCAAGATCTCCTTCATCCTCCAAGGGTGCTGATGAAGATGGTATAAAGAGGTAAACAAAATAAAATTCGTCAGAAAATTAAAGCATTGTTAGTGTTTGTGCTGCAATAAAATGAAGAGAAGAAGCATGTTGAGAGCTTGCCATTCGCTGCGTGGTGATTGAGGGATAGCGTGATGGACTCGAGGGAAGGTGCTTTGTGGTTTGACTCCGCTCCATGACAAAACTTTTGCATTTTCGATTGTCACCTCCAAATGAGCGCCAAATTGCTTCAGCGTCAAATTAACGCTATATTCACAATCAGGACCATCAGCAGCCCCTGCAAATGGGTTTACTATCAAAAACTGGCAGAATAAATCTGTAGCGCCAAACTGGCGCCAAATGGCGCCGACGCCAAAAATAACGCCATATCCGTGATCAGCACCCCGATTTACCCCTATAGGCAAAATTTCGACGAAAGTGCGAGATTTTGACCTAACCTTGAAAAAGATGACCATGGGCCATTATGTTAAAGTTGCCGGTCGCCGTGCATGACGGCCTTCATGGTCGTTATGCACGTCGGCGAGCGACTTCAAGAAGAGCGCTGCGCGAAAATCAAGTGGAACACCCTGATGATTCACGGAATCCAAAGCTCGATTTCATAGAGAACATCTCCCACCCCACGTCCCTGTCCTTGAAATCGCTCCAGCTATGGAGATGAGGCCTACGAGTGGAGGAGCCGAGGACCCAACATATCACGTCTTGAAGGAGAGAAGAATCTGTCGACTTCAACTCATGCGGGTCCTGTTGTTATCACCAGCTTAGGTGTCTCCATTGTCTATTCTGTAGTGAAATTTTTATTTGGAGAGGATTACGAGGAAACTCATTTTCCAATCGCTGGCTGGAGTACCCCATGGGCTACTGACCGACCTGTCGATGGCCAATTTTTCGGAACTGGCTCAAAATCTCAATTTTTTCTAAAACTTCTACTTAAGGAATATCTACTGCTCTGATCACGAATATGACATTTAGTTTTCCGAATGGCCCCAATCGGCGCCTTTTGGCCCCTATTGGCGTTACAACTTTCTTTACACCATATTCACGTTAGAAATCTGAGTTCAGTAATCACCGGTAGCCCTGATAATGATATGATATCTAGTTTTTGCGCTGGTGCTATTTTGGAAAATTTGGAAGCTCCAACTAAAATGCAAAAATTTTGTCATCACGGAGGATTGATCCTTGGACCATTTCCTCACCATTTTTTGGCCTTCTCGGGCCGTTCAGCGAAAATGGACCTTGGTTCTGTAGTCCACGCATGAGTTCCTATAACATGCAAAAACCGTTTCGAAAAAGCGCGGCTTGCCCTGAACGACCTCCCTTGTTAGAGAAGGTGAAAGAAAGTGGATAGAGGTCGGAGAACGAAGTAAAGTTAGTTGCAAACGGAAGACGGGGTATGAACCGTAGTGGGCGGATATCGCCGCTAATCTTCATATTTTGGTTGAGAATCAGTACAACGATGAGAGAAAAGCGGGTAGATTCTTGAGGGAAATTGGCTCTAGCGAAGAAGCTCATCTTCATAATCAGACCTTCCGGGATCATCCATGATCTTCACTCTTTTTTTCCTAAGCTTCATTTTCCTCGGCAAAAAACGAATTGCGCCTCTACTGTGGTGGTTATTCCACTCTAGGTCAAGGGCTCTACCACCGTTTTTAAGTGACCTATGTGATCCTCGAGGTCTTGTGAGTCAGACTGGCGAAGTGTTAGCTGTTTTCGGTCTTGTGCGGGAAATTAGTCGAGCAATTTTTTTGAAAAAGCAAGCAAGACATGGGTAATGACTCCGTCTCCGGAACCATCACTTTAAGTTGCACTTCTTTGATTTACTTCAATGAGTTCTCTCTGTGACACGAAATTCGCTTTTATATTGAGATCATCCAGGCCGTTTCTTTTCTTATATCAACCACAAAGTAACACGCGTTTTCGCATCATGTTAAGCTTTTCTCTCAGAAGCTTTTGTCCAAGATCTGCCTCTCATATACGCTACAGCTGCAGGCTTTCAAAAAGGTTTTCACGACATATACCACACTCAGACGAGGGAGTCCAAGGTTTTTATTAGGCTGGTCCATAAGCCTTACAACAAACTGGCTAAATTTTGATCTGATATTTTTACTATCGTTTTGTTCCATTCATCCAGCATAGTACACATCATCAATATCTACGACCTTTCGCAGACATTAGAAACTGAACGTTGCCTCTCTTGTAGAACTCCACCGAATCTGATAGAAGAAAAATCAGGTGGTTCAACATTATCATAAAAAAGCAAACTTTGTCTTGCTTTTCTTTCGTATTAGAACCGTTGCAATCAAACCGCGGACGGTCGACTTCCGCGTGGACTGCGACATCTATATGTAGGAGCTTCCAAAGTTCAACAACTCTCGTATTCTACCGGAAATCCGAAAAACCCACCAAGACGAGGTTGAATTTTAGTAGTAGAGTTTCAAAAGCGTTAGAGCTGGATTATCGCTTCGTTAGCACACTTACATTTCCCTCATCTTCGGCAAGTGTGATAGGTTGGTCAGTCGAAGAATCCTTAATAAGTTGAATTGAACATGGTGATGTCAGATTGTAATTGGAGATGATTCGAACTCAAGACATGTAGGATCAAAACTCTATATTTTCGGAATTTGACAAGTCTTTGGAGATGACTCAGTGCTGTAACCATGTGGCATCAGAATTGCTCTACCAAAAGATCGGTAGTCTACATCCTCATCACCGTTTCACAGAAGTCAGAAGAGAGCATCGCGCGATGCCCAGCACCTGGTGGTCGAAGTGAGGATCTCTTCAAAACAGCTGTGACATGACGCCCCGAGCCCCGCGACTGGGAGCTTAAGGCCCAGTCTACTCTGATATCGTCCTCTGTCATTCGTCTCTGGCTAAACCTTGGGTTCATGACCTGCCGAACATCCCCAAGCATTAGTCGAAAGTCAAGAAACCCATAGCTTTTAGCGAGATCGTTAAATATCCAAAACAAAGCGAGAATAAAGACTGGACGGTTGCTGAAAATTGGCCAAAGGGATGGCTTACGGTATAACGACACATGTTGCGACATTTCGACCACTCTCCTACCACAAATCCTAGCATAAACTGTAAATATGTTTGAAGGCTAATGACCAAGCCCCATACCCACCACCGCCGAGTTTCAAGGCGAACCTTTTCTTTGAGTGCAACTTTTCATAGTGAATTTTTTTTGGGTAAAATCGACATAATTTCACTGAATCTGAGCAACCTGATACCTACTTCCGGATTGAAGTTGACTTGGAATATCCACAACTTGAACCAATTGAAGCAGAACTATCTACTGGCAAAGATGGAACTCTATATTCGTTGCACATTTCACCCAATCACTCCGCGAGGATTACACTTTCGTTTCCTGCCAATAATACTCGTCAAGCGCTCCATTACGATACGGGCAGAAAACACTCAAGTTCTGTGAGCGCAGAAAACTATCTGATCCGATTGAAGGCTTTATTCACTGAGAAGTGTCTTTCCTACGAAGTGTAGCGATACTCCAGCTTTGTGGAGAATGCCTTCTTTCGGCTACCACTATACAGTATCACAGGGACAATCTTTGAGTTTGAGGAAAGCTCAGTGCCAACGTCCTCTTGTGAGCAGAACCTAAAAGTGAAGTGAATATGGTTTTTCTTTATATCTTCATAATATTGTACCTGTAACCAGTGAGACGTTTATCTTCATTTGCTTTGATTTCGACACCCGCATAAATGCATCCATCTTTGTTGAATTCCTCTGGAAGCTCCGCAATCTTCACTTCTATCCTTGCATTGTCCACATTATCCGGCGCCTTAAGAATTATATTCAGGCTCGAATACAGTCCATTCAAAAAGCTTTGCACCTTGATCCAATAAGTGCATGCTGCTTGTGTATTCGTCAGCTGCTGCCTCTCCCTCACCCCACCTCTAAAGTTTTTTCAATCGTAGCGCATGCGCGCAGCCTCCAATTCTTTCACCGGCAACTTGAATGCACAAATTATTCGTTTCGAAACCGAAAGGTTCCGCGAGTTGACAACAGCATGGAACAGGATTGGTCACCGGCTTTTCGTGTCGCACCACGGTCCCACCGAATAACCGCTACAGGTCAGATGCATATGTGAGCAGCCAGTCCACAGATATGGACATTCCCTCATTCTGGCAGTGCTGCGTTTAGTGTCACATCTTGTTCTGGATACTAATGCTTCGTCGTGACCAGTAGCCAGTTTTTAGATCATGTCGCTTACCGGAGGCCAGCGTCACATTTACTCACCAAGGCAATCGTCGTACAATTTATTCATCATGAGCAAGTCATAAAACGAAATGATATCAGATCCAAGAGTTGATGTATAGTTACCATCTTTGGCAGTCATTATTCGTTTCTTTTCGTCTTTGGCTGCGATAGGGCTGAAAACTTACTTTCACTCGCAGATACTTCTCCAATATATTCTACCTTTTGGATCCGTAGTGCATTATGCTTCCAAAATCGTATGTTAGATCATAGTTATTGTTGTATGTCTCGTCCTGTTTGTCGAAGTCGGTAGTCCAGCCGTTCTGAAGTGGTCTGCCATATTTTGATTCTTCTACAGCATTTACAAACCTTACCTTAATATTCTCTTCGTCGACTGTAATGTAATTGTCACGGTCATATCTTGCTTGAGTATGGAAGAATCCAAGTGCATGACCAATTTCGTGTGCAGCAATCCCGACCTGCAACAGGATGGAGAACCTAGTTTGCGTCACAGTAAAGTCAGGAGACTGTTCTGCCTAATGCGTGCTAGACTCATATCTCTATGGATGTAGTGGTTTCTTAAGCATGTGAGTGTGATCTGAAAGAAGCTCCTTCAAACCATACCGATTCACAGCCTGTGCCAAGTATGAGTTCCTGCGGGCCTGGGCCATTTTTACCTACGTGCGAAAAACACCCATCTCCGTTAGCCAAATATAAGAAGTCTCGAGCTGAAACATTGACCTTTGAGTGAGCCTCTCCAAGACTTCGACTACTTCTACATTTCACAGTGAAGAATTATTGTATTATTATTTAGCTCGACGAATTAGCTGGTGCATTTTTTTTATCAAATTCATAGCTAACCACACCTCAGTTGGGCCATAGTGACAACGATTAAGGATGATGAAAGGAAGTGTTTCTGCTGGATGGAACATATGATAGCTATTATCAAATGCTGACGATTTGTTTCAAATGTGAATGTCACTAACCACTATTGATGCAGGTATGTGTGACCTTTTTCGCAATCTGTGCATTTATACCTATGTGGAAATATGAAAACTACATATAGTTAAATGCTGTTGGTTGACCTCGGATGTGGATGCCACTGAATTCATCTCCTTTCATATGAGAAACGAACGAACATGTGAAATCAGTGTAGACGTGGTGTCAGAGTTGAGGGGAACACAAGCAACCAAATGTGCTACTGTGCTAGGCGAGTGAGATCCACGAAAACCAACGTTACTGAAAGATTTCTTACGTGGGATGGGATCGCCTTTCTTCTTCCATTGCTGAAATTCTGTGAAGTCAATGCACGTGCTGTCATTCCATAATTGCGCTGCTTTCTTGAAGGCCTCCCTAGCCTTTTCGCCTGAAGATAGTGAATCAAATTTCGCTAGTTCTCCGCTCGTGTGCGAAAGAGTACTTCAGATTAGCTGACCTGGATGGTAAAATGTGTAGGGAACCTTGTTGTTCGGCCATCTTCTGCTAAGGTCTCTCATTGCTTGCCTTCTAGAACGAGTTCCCACCCTTTCGAGCTCGTTCCTTAACATTGTTTGAAATTTTGCGGAAGAATTTCTGAAAAACTAATTCAAGTAACTTTGTGAGGAGAATATCTCCTTCGTAAGCGCCTGTGACTCCGCTTTTCTCGTTGATTTCCTCAATCGAGCGTCCCATGTTGTGTTGCATTTTTTCAATAGTTTTTCTCTGAAGAATTTGAGTAATCAGTTACCGTTAGGGATGACTTCTTTAATGACAATAACTCACCTTCAGTCTTTCAAAAGGTCCCTCCTGTGGAGTGGAGTGAAGAACGTATGCTCGTTTCTGCCGCCGCTCTGGCATTGCCTCCACACACACAGTCACCAGTAGAGCAAGCGCAAGTACCCTCATACTGCACAGGAGCTGAAAATTCCGAACGATGATATCGATGTCAAGAATGAACGCTTCCTGGGGCTGGCCAATGTATCTGTTCTCTCTTCTCATATTTATATGGTGCTTCCGTATTGTTAGATTGACATAACTGGGATAGTCCCGATACGCCCACAGCGACGTGAAAAAAGCATCACTTCAGCTGCTGCATATGATCCATGCTTCGGGCTTATGGTGCGAATTATTATTGAAAGATCTAATCTAGTGACTTTGCTATAGCCGCAAGCGTTCAGAATAGCGGATTGGGTTTTCACCAATTATAGTAACTTTGGAGTAATAGGAACAATTTCTCGAGTTGCAGTCCACCCACATAATTCTTTACGGCTGGAAATGAACAACTAAATGTTGGGAAACGTTTATATTCACTTCACCCATTTACGGAATCTTTTCAAGTCGTGTTAAAAATTCATTATCCGATGTATGTCAGTGCTGGTCGTCGATTTTTTTCTCCGCATTTTTGTCGTAGCAATACGCAGCAACTGTAATTGGAAAATAAAGAAGAATGAAGAAGAATGTTTGGCCTCTTGCCTTCAAGAATTCAACGTGCCAACTGAAGCGATGCGGCAAGAAGCTCACGAGTTTTAATGGGACTTCAGACTGTATTGTACAACAAGGAAAATATTTGGCTGTCAATCTCCAGAAACATGAGGAAAAACAATAAAGCCTATTGTGTCACACTGCTTTGCAGGTGTCTTTTGAAGCTGCTTGAAAACATGAAAATGGGGACATTTTCAAACTTTCGACCGTTACCGTGTATTTCTTGACTCTTGACCGTGCTTGAAAAGAAAAATAGGCGTCATCGCAATATAAGGGGCATTTGGTCCAAACGTGTACATTCTGGTTAAGTCATAGCTACGTAATCACCTAGTAACACAGGACACGTTTAAACGTGCATATAGAGACCCAACGCCGGTCGTTTCATTCCTACCATTGTTTTTTTGATTTTGTGATAGTTGATCCTTTTGAGCGTGATCGCAAGTTATGAGGACATTTTCCAAGGCTAGTCTCAGATTAGGGGCTAGGAACATGAAAAAAAATCACCCATGCAGTCAGGAGTCCCTTCTCATCCATCTAGGTTTTGTCCCATTTTGATAGAAAGGAGACTTTTTCGCGATTTGAAATGAATTCCCACCACAGTGCCCCGTATGTTGCGATAGTGCTTAACACGTTGACGGCCACCGTTGTGCGCGTACTGCTTCAACATTTTTGTATTCTCTCATCAATAGGCATTAATCCTTCAGCGTTTTCATCATCAGTAATGAAAAAACTGTTTTTCGGATCCAATAATGTACATGGACTGTTGTAGAACAGAAATAAATACCAAAAAAAATTAAGGAGAAGTAGTCTACCCTATGAGAAAGTGTATCATACCACACGGTCGTCAACGTGTTAAAATCAGTTCTGAACGCATTCCTCCCCCTAGAAAGCACAACCTTAGTATCACACAAAGCTGTCGTTTTCGATCTGGATTCAAACCACTGCACGGACAGTTATATTATTCTGTTTTACGGCTCACTATTTTGATAATTTTTTATGGTTATACCAATTATAATTGGGGGACTTCATAATTGGATGTTGCGTCACGTTTGAACATGCGCACGTCCCACTTCTCGGACCTCGTTGGACATTGAGACGCGGCTGCGCGTCTCACCCTTGTCATCCTTTTTCTAGCGTATGCGGGATTCTTCCCAATTTGCTTGTCTCTATTCTATGGATTACAACATAACATAACTGTAAACGACATGGGTCACGGTATGATCAAATATGCTCCAGTTTAGCAGAAGTTTTTTAAGCACAGCGGAATTGGCAGCTCGGTTCATCCTCGTTTTCTTCCTATTCTGATGAACATGTCAGTGAGAAAGGTAGTGAAAGTAAATACAAACTTAAAGGGATAGAAAGATATATGTTTCACTTGACACATCCACATCGAAAATAGTTTTGGCATCCACTACAGAGAAAAGGACTTGAATTCCAATTTTCTTTACCATTTCACGTTTTTTTGATCGAATTTCGCTTAATTTCGACTAATCCATCTTCTGGCGGAAGTGGTGTAGTGGCAAGTGGCACGCTTACCACGCGAGCGGTCCGGGGATCAAATCCTGGGTCGTGAGTCGCCCGGGCCAACCAAGCCTTCCATCCCTCCGGGGTCGGTTAATTGGTACCAGACTTGTCTGGGAGGATAAAAACACTGACTTGTACATCGGCTGGCCCCCGCAAGTCATTGTATAGGCCACATCGCATTCAAACGCCACTACGAATGTACAAATGGAAGTAGAATGCGTGCCGCATCCCAAAAAGGGATTGATCAACGGCAAATGCTTTATCCTTTATCCTTATCCATCTCTCTTATTTTCTACGCATTGATATTGCTGAAATGTTTTCGTACCTTTGAAGCTTCCCAAGGTTATCGTTCAAAATTTACGGGTGTGAGGTGTGACGGCCGCGCTCGCAAAAGCGCCCTTGTCCCACGCGGTGCAAAAACCCAAAACGCGCGATGTCGTCAACGTGTTAAAGATATATGGACACGAAATATCCCCGTATGTTGCGATAGCGTAGGAAGATGTTTCCAAAAAAATGCAACTGTGCAGCAACTTTCCCGACAGTTCCCAACTTCTAAACCGCAAATCGAAGAAGTGAGTGTGTAAACGTTTCCCAACATTTAGTTGTTCATTTCTAGCCGTAAAGAATTATGTGGGTGGACTACAACTCGAGAAATTGTTCCTATTACTCCAAAGTTACTATAATTGGTGAAAACCCAATCCGCTATTCTGAACGCTTGCGGCTATAGCAAAGTCACTAGATTAGATCTTTCAATAATAATTCGCACCATAAGCCCGAAGCATGGATCATATGCAGCAGCTGAAGTGATGCTTTTTTCACGTCGCTGTGGGCGTATCGGGACTATCCCAGTTATGTCAATCTAACAATACGGAAGCACCATATAAATATGAGAAGAGAGAACAGATACATTGGCCAGCCCCAGGAAGCGTTCATTCTTGACATCGATATCATCGTTCGGAATTTTCAGCTCCTGTGCAGTATGAGGGTACTTGCGCTTGCTCTACTGGTGACTGTGTGTGTGGAGGCAATGCCAGAGCGGCGGCAGAAACGAGCATACGTTCTTCACTCCACTCCACAGGAGGGACCTTTTGAAAGACTGAAGGTGAGTTATTGTCATTAAAGAAGTCATCCCTAACGGTAACTGATTACTCAAATTCTTCAGAGAAAAACTATTGAAAAAATGCAACACAACATGGGACGCTCGATTGAGGAAATCAACGAGAAAAGCGGAGTCACAGGCGCTTACGAAGGAGATATTCTCCTCACAAAGTTACTTGAATTAGTTTTTCAGAAATTCTTCCGCAAAATTTCAAACAATGTTAAGGAACGAGCTCGAAAGGGTGGGAACTCGTTCTAGAAGGCAAGCAATGAGAGACCTTAGCAGAAGATGGCCGAACAACAAGGTTCCCTACACATTTTACCATCCAGGTCAGCTAATCTGAAGTACTCTTTCGCACACGAGCGGAGAACTAGCGAAATTTGATTCACTATCTTCAGGCGAAAAGGCTAGGGAGGCCTTCAAGAAAGCAGCGCAATTATGGAATGACAGCACGTGCATTGACTTCACAGAATTTCAGCAATGGAAGAAGAAAGGCGATCCCATCCCACGTAAGAAATCTTTCAGTAACGTTGGTTTTCGATCAAATCTCATAGCTAACCACACCTCAGTTGGGCCATAGTGACAACGATTAAGGATGATGAAAGGAAGTGTTTCTGCTGGATGGAACATATGATAGCTATTATCAAATGCTGACGATTTGTTTCAAATGTGAATGTCACTAACCACTATTGATGCAGGTATGTGTGACCTTTTTCGCAATCTGTGCATTTATACCTATGTGGAAATATGAAAACTACATATAGTTAAATGCTGTTGGTTGACCTCGGATGTGGATGCCACTGAATTCATCTCCTTTCATATGAGAAACGAACGAACATGTGAAATCAGTGTAGACGTGGTGTCAGAGTTGAGGGGAACACAAGCAACCAAATGTGCTACTGTGCTAGGCGAGTGAGATCCACGAAAACCAACGTTACTGAAAGATTTCTTACGTGGGATGGGATCGCCTTTCTTCTTCCATTGCTGAAATTCTGTGAAGTCAATGCACGTGCTGTCATTCCATAATTGCGCTGCTTTCTTGAAGGCCTCCCTAGCCTTTTCGCCTGAAGATAGTGAATCAAATTTCGCTAGTTCTCCGCTCGTGTGCGAAAGAGTATTCAGATTAGCTGACCTGGATGGTAAAATGTGTAGGGAACCTTGTTGTTCGGCCATCTTCTGCTAAGGTCTCTCATTGCTTGCCTTCTAGAACGAGTTCCCACCCTTTCGAGCTCGTTCCTTAACATTGTTTGAAATTTTGCGGAAGAATTTCTGAAAAACTAATTCAAGTAACTTTGTGAGGAGAATATCTCCTTCGTAAGCGCCTGTGACTCCGCTTTTCTCGTTGATTTCCTCAATCGAGCGTCCCATGTTGTGTTGCATTTTTTCAATAGTTTTTCTCTGAAGAATTTGAGTAATCAGTTACCGTTAGGGATGACTTCTTTAATGACAATAACTCACCTTCAGTCTTTCAAAAGGTCCCTCCTGTGGAGTGGAGTGAAGAACGTATGCTCGTTTCTGCCGCCGCTCTGGCATTGCCTCCACACACACAGTCACCAGTAGAGCAAGCGCAAGTACCCTCATACTGCACAGGAGCTGAAAATTCCGAACGATGATATCGATGTCAAGAATGAACGCTTCCTGGGGCTGGCCAATGTATCTGTTCTCTCTTCTCATATTTATATGGTGCTTCCGTATTGTTAGATTGACATAACTGGGATAGTCCCGATACGCCCACAGCGACGTGAAAAAAGCATCACTTCAGCTGCTGCATATGATCCATGCTTCGGGCTTATGGTGCGAATTATTATTGAAAGATCTAATCTAGTGACTTTGCTATAGCCGCAAGCGTTCAGAAGTTGGGTTTTCACCAATTATAGTAACTTTGGAGTAATAGGAACAATTTCTCGAGTTGCAGTCCACCCACATAATTCTTTACGGCTGGAAATGAACAACTAAATGTTGGGAAACGTTTATATTCACTTCACCCATTTACGGAATCTTTTCAAGTCGTGTTAAAAATTCATTATCCGATGTATGTCAGTGCTGGTCGTCGATTTTTTTCTCCGCATTTTTGTCGTAGCAATACGCAGCAACTGTAATTGGAAAATAAAGAAGAATGAAGAAGAATGTTTGGCCTCTTGCCTTCAAGAATTCAACGTGCCAACTGAAGCGATGCGGCAAGAAGCTCACGAGTTTTAATGGGACTTCAGACTGTATTGTACAACAAGGAAAATATTTGGCTGTCAATCTCCAGAAACATGAGGAAAAACAATAAAGCCTATTGTGTCACACTGCTTTGCAGGTGTCTTTTGAAGCTGCTTGAAAACATGAAAATGGGGACATTTTCAAACTTTCGACCGTTACCGTGTATTTCTTGACTCTTGACCGTGCTTGAAAAGAAAAATAGGCGTCATCGCAATATAAGGGGCATTTGGTCCAAACGTGTACATTCTGGTTAAGTCATAGCTACGTAATCACCTAGTAACACAGGACACGTTTAAACGTGCATATAGAGACCCAACGCCGGTCGTTTCATTCCTACCATTGTTTTTTTGATTTTGTGATAGTTGATCCTTTTGAGCGTGATCGCAAGTTATGAGGACATTTTCCAAGGCTAGTCTCAGATTAGGGGCTAGGAACATGAAAAAAAATCACCCATGCAGTCAGGAGTCCCTTCTCATCCATCTAGGTTTTGTCCCATTTTGATAGAAAGGAGACTTTTTCGCGATTTGAAATGAATTCCCACCACAGTGCCCCGTATGTTGCGATAGTGCTTAACACGTTGACGGCCACCGTTGTGCGCGTACTGCTTCAACATTTTTGTAATCTCTCATGTATAGGCATTAATCCTTCAGTGTTTTCATCATCAATAAGAAAAAAACTGTTTTCCGTATCCGATAATGTATATGGACTGTTGTAGAACAGAAGTAAATACCAAAAAAAATTAAGGAGAAGTAGTCTACCCTATGAGAAAGTGTATCATACCACACGGTCGTCAACGTGTTAAAATCAGTTCTGAACGCATTCCTCCCCCTAGAAAGCACAACCTTAGTATCACACAAAGCTGTCGTTTTCGATCTGGATTCAAACCACTGCACGGACAGTTATATTATTCTTACGGCTCACTATTTGAATTTGATAAAAAAAAGCACCAGCTAATTCGTCGAGCTAAATGATAATCATAATGGGATAAATACAATAATCCTTCACTGTGAAATGTAGAAGTAGTCGAAGTCTTGGAGAGGCTCACTCAAAGGTCAATGTTTCAGCTCGAGACTTCTTATATTTGGCTAACGGAGATGGGTGTTTTTCGCACGTAGGTAAAAATGGCCCAGGCCCGCAGGAACTCATACTTGGCACAGGCTGTGAATCGGTATGGTTTGAAGGAGCTTCTTTCAGATCACACTCACATGCTTAAGAAACCACTACATCCATAGAGATATGAGTCTAGCACGCATTAGGCAGAACAGTCTCCCGACTTTACTGTGACGCAAACTAGGTTCTCCATCCTGTTGCAGGTCGGGATTGCTGCACACGAAATTGGTCATGCACTTGGATTCTTCCACACTCAAGCAAGATATGACCGTGACAATTACATTACAGTCGACGAAGAGAATATTAAAGTAAGGTTTGTAAATGCTGTAGAAGAATCAAAATATGGCAGACCACTTCAGAACGGCTGGACTACCGACTTCGACAAACAGGACGAGACATACAACAATAACTATGATCTAACATACGATTTTGGAAGCATAATGCACTACGGATCCAAAAGGTAGAATATATTGGAGAAGTATCTGCGAGTGAAAGTAAGTTTTCAGCCCTATCGCAGCCAAAGACGAAAAGAAACGAATAATGACTGCCAAAGATGGTAACTATACATCAACTCTTGGATCTGATATCATTTCGTTTTATGACTTGCTCATGATGAATAAATTGTACGACTGCCTCGGTAAGCAACATGATTCTAAAAACTTGCTACTGCGTCCGCGAAAGCCACAGTTCCAGACAAATGTGACACTAAACCAGACTGCAAGAATGAGGGATTCCCTCATCCTCGTGACTGCTCCAAATGCATCTGCCCTAGCGGATTCGGTGGACCGTTGTGCGACGAAAAGGTGACCAATCCTTTCCCAGGTCAAACTCGCGTTTCGTTTCAAACGAATAATTTAGCCATCAAGTTGCGGTGAAGAATTGGAGGCTGCCAGCGATTGGCTACCGATTGAAAAAACTCTAGACGCTGGGGATGAGGGAGAGGAGCAGGACGAATACAAAAGATGCACCTATTGGATCAAGGTGCAAAAGCTTTTTGAATGGACTGTATTCGAGCCTGAATATAATTCTTAAGGCGCCGGATAATGTGGACAATGCAAGGATAGAAGTGAAGATTGCGGAGCTTCCAGAGGAATTCAACAAAGATGGATGCATTTATGCTGGTGTCGAAATCAAAGCAAATGAAGATAAACGTCTCACTGGTTACAGGTACAATATTATGAAGATATGAAGAAAAACCATATTCACTTCACTTTTAGGTTCTGCTCACAAGAGGACGTTGGCACTGAGCTTTCCTCAAACTCAAAGATTGTCCCTGTGATACTGTATAGTGGTAGCCGAAAGAAGGCATTCTCCACAAAGCTGGAGTATCGCTACACTTCGTAGGAAAGACACCTTCTCAGTGAATAAAGCCTTCAATCGGATCAGATAGTTTTCTGCGGTCACAGAACTTGAGTGTTTTCTGCCCGTATCGTAATGGAGCGCTTGACCTACATTGATGATATGCCAGGCTTTTGGCTCGTACTTGGGAAACAAAAGTGTAATCCTCGCGGAGTGATTGGGTGAAATGTGCAACGAATATAGAGTTCCATCTTTGCCAGTAGATAGTTCTGCTTCAATTGGTTCAAGTTGTGGATATTCCAAGTCAACTTCAATCCGGAGTAGGTATCAGGTTGCTCAGATTCAGTGAAATTATGTCGATTTTACCCAAAAAAATTCACTAGAAAAGTTGCCACAAAAGAAAGGTCGCCTTGAAACTCGGTGGTATTGGGTTGGTCCATAAGCCTATGCAACAAATTACATTTAATGCTAGAGAATTTTTGTGAGAACTCCGAAAATTCCGCAACATGTTTGTTGACGTAGCATCCACCTTTGCAATTTCAGCCAACCGTCCAGCTCGTTGTCTCGCTACTTGTTATGGATATTACACCGATTTCGCGAAAAGCTCTGTGCCCTTAATTTTTACTACTGCTTGGAATGTTCCGCAAGTCATGCAACACCAAGGTTTAGCCAGACGAATGGCGAGGACGATTCAAGATGCACTGGCGCCTTAATCTCCCCAGCTTTAACAGCTTTTTTGA